TAAGGTTTAACTGTAGGCAGACAGAAATCATTGCAGCTCTGTAATAATTAATACATCATCAAATGAACTTTTTAAACACAAGCAGTGTAAGTACCTCAATTTGGTATTAGCCTCATGCAGTACCTGTATTGCAGGGTGGGAGTTTGAAAAGAAGAAACAGCACAAGAAGCCAATCAGTTAATGTGCTGACAAGAAGTATGCTGATAGGTGGATAATTCAGATTGACAGATAAATAAATTAATCAGTGTGCTGCTCCTCCTTTCACTGTCCAGGCACCAGGCTAGGCTTAGAGGAAATGGATTGAATGATGCTGGCTCAGACTGGGGACATCTAGTGGCAGAAAGAAAGTACTGCAGGGGAAATCTCTGAATTTGAAATATTGAAAAATATTGCAACAGTAACAAAAGTTGTTTTTGTTATTTTATCTTGCAATGGGCTATTTATTTTTATGTTGTTATTTTTGGTTGGAGTTCTGCTTTACTAGGAATAAATAGTGGTTTTGTGCATAGGTGCTCTATTTATTATGGTCATGACTAAAAATGAAATCCATGCAAATATGTATTCATCTAAATAGGAAATATTGTGAGACCAACACACTGGTGATTCTATCACCGGCGGCACCTAATTCACATTCATCTGCCACTTTACCTAAGGTGCTCCACACTGGCCAAAGTTCTGCAGAATTTCAATCACTTCCAAACTTGAAGGTTCTCAAATGTCCCCCCACAGTACCTACACACTTAAAAGAAGGTACAATGGGTCTTGTACGTTCCATGACAGTTGTACAAATGTTTATCCCCAAAAATATTTTTGATATACACTATTATTGTAATAAGCACACATATACACTACTTAATGTCAAACATTCCTACTGAATGTAAAAGATAAAACTCCATCAAGTTCATAAGTATCTATAACTTAAATCACCTTTATAAAACCATGAAAGGTCCAAAGAACACAAAACTAATTTACACTAGAAATTTTTACTACTTTATCTGTTTAGCATAGGGCCCATGAATAACCGAATAACCGAATAACCTAGCTCTCGCCTAGGTTTGTATATAAAGTAGACATAAACCCAATAACTTCTTTCATATAAGCTATAACACGTTAATGTTATTTCAGAAGTTGTTTTTAAACTTCTGTCAGTACTCATTAAAAGAATACCTGGCGATCATGCCATGTTCAGGCACTTGTTGCTATGGGGTGACTACTGTCTCCCAACTGTACTCCTGTGTTGTCACCCTGTCACGTTTCCTCCTGGTGAAGCCGTGCTGAAACACATTGTGCAGGCATGGCCCACCTTTGTCACTATCAGAAAGCCAAGACAGACCAATGGTGTGTAGTTGATGCTGATGCTTTAGCACACTGTCACCCAGTTACGGTTTAGATCTATTTTACTACTCACACAGTACTCAAATGTCATACAGAGCATCTTTTGTATTTGGTGGGATTTGGGGATTAATGAGAAGAGGTGATTTTTGTATTCATTCATTACATATTTGTATAAATGTTGTTTCTATTTAAAGAGTAACGAGCAGATTAAATCTTAACTCTTGCAGTGGGGCTTCCCCCGCACTGCAAGGGTTAAGTGCTAGTTTTGGTCTAGGGCGTAAAAAGAAAAAGATCTACTCACCTGAACCTTGCTCCCATCTGGCTACTAGATCTTGAAATCGATGAAGAGTCACTCGCACTCCAATTTTATACCATGCCAATTCCTTTATTGAATATAGTAGTGTCACAATCATGGCAACGTTTCAGAACATATCTTGTTTACTATACCAGTCCCCACAGCCTCTCTCCGTCTGATCCAGTGGTGGAATGTCCCTCGTCATGCCTCCTCATGCCTAATACAAATGATTCACAGATGCTTAGACCGTCAAGCGGAGGGGGAGAGAGGTTGTGGTGACCGGTCTAGCAGCCAGGGAGGGTCGAGGTGCGGCTCAGTATATCTTTTTTATTCTCAATGCTAGACCAAAACGAGCAGTTACCTCCCCCCCCCCACACACACACACTGCAAGGGTTAAGTTTTATTCTGCTAGGAGATCTTCTTTAATATTAGTTGAAATTGTTTATGATTCATTTTTGTATTTTTTTTTCCATTCTTTTTTCCTCATGGCTGTGGGATCTGGATAAGGTCAGGGGAGACCTGATCCAGCCCCAGGATGCACCTCTGTAGTAACTGATAATAGTGATTTATTATTCTATTATCAGCAAGCAATATGTCGCTATTGTAGTGATCTGTTGCTTTAGGGGAAGGCAAGGCAGTGCTGATGAAACATTGATCCCAGAGTCACAGGAACTACAGATTTCACTGTATGTCTCCTATAAACACAATAACAAAGCATTGTTCTGCATTGTGCTAATAAGGAGTAGACATTTTAAGCATTCTGTAACCAGAGCACAAATCCAGGAGCTGATTGATTCAGCTTCTGGGCTTAATGCTGTACCATGGCTGGCAATTTTGGCAAGAATCCCTGCCCAGACATCCCAGAGCCACTGTGAACTTGCACCGTTTTGAAATAGTGCTGCAATTCAGTGTGCAGTCCACTGTTCTCCAGACCTGTAAAATACTCACTGAGAGCACCCATGGGCCACAGGGTTGGGCATCACTGGTATACACAGTTGGTGATTAATCCACTTTACAAAAGCATCAGTGGGGTTTCCCCCGTGTGCTGCAGAATCTACCAGCAAAACAATGGAATCTCAGAGATGACCTTGGTCTCTCAGCACACCTGACTGATGAATCCCCTTGTCTTCTTCTTGCGTGCTGAAGTAACATGCGGATGGCGCCAGTACACATAAGAAGTTACCAGCACACCATAGCATCTTCTGCAAACAACACCTTCATTGACATTCCATTATGGTATCAAATACAGTACAAAGCAATGCTTTGAGACCTCATAGGGTCAAAGTGATACCTGATGAAGGGACCCTGTGAGATCTCTAAACTTTTGTTTGTATTGTAAAACCATGATGGAACGTTAAAAAAGGCGTTGTTTGTACAAGACGCTATGGTGAGCTGGTAACTTCTTCTTTGCAAGAGAAGGAGAATCCAGTCTTATTGCAATAGATACGGCAATAGGGTGACACCTAAACTTTGTGTATTACATCCTAGAAAGAGGGCACAGCCAAGAAGGGTGTAATACATCATAGGCATTCAAAGATTGAAAGCTTAATAAGATAGATATCCTCTGCGTACATATGTTCATATTTCTACCTCAGAAACCCAAAAGTAGATTTACTAAGAGATAAAACGAAAGACTGTGTATGGTGTCAAAACACCTGGTTATTCTAGCTTCCTGTGCTTGACCAATGTATGGTTTATTGTTTTGAAGCAGGCCTGTGTGAATATATGTAAATATACTGTATATTTAAAGGACATCTGCATTTAGTAGAGACAGCCATTTTGGCTGGGAATAATTATTTCTCAGAACAGAGCATCAAATAATTTGATATTGTAGACATCAACATTCTTTGCTGTCTAGTTCTGAGTGAACGGAATACTGGGTAAGACTGCAGAGTGGCTGCTTACACAGCCCATGGCTAACAAGTATACTTTAATTCCTGAATAATGAATGATATTGCTACTGATGGGTTATTTTTGTGAGTTGGCAGTTTTGAGGCTTTGGCTCGACTTGCAGGTTTTAGAGAGAAACAGCACCCTCACGCGTGCAGTTGTGTAAAGTATTACAAGCCTGTCTTAGCTAGAGAGCTATTTCAGGGGAGACGTACTGGAAAATCCATAAACTGGTTTCATGTCCAGTAAACAGGACTTTGCTAAGATCAGAAAAACTCTCATTTTACATTTAATTATATGTTACACACTTTAGCCAAATTCAGTGAGCTGCTCATAGACATTTTAAGTGGCCTACATCCTCTTATCCCATGATTCTGTGCTGTATAATCTCCTCTGAGGCCAGTGCTTGCAACTTGGGAACCCCTGTCCTGCACGTTCACAGAGCCAGGGAAATTCCAAAAATAAGGATTGTGAGAACCACAACGGTCAAACCAACTAGCAACAGCACATGAATGGCAGGACTTTAAAAATTAGGCACCATTCCGCAGGGAGACTGCATCCCAAGTTTAAGTGCAACATTTGCATGTTTTACTGGAATGTACCTTTAAAGTGTGATACTAAACTCAAGAGTTAAATCCTAAAAATGCGTTCAAGTACCCTAAATATTAAGAAAAATGTAACTTATTTGTGTATCACTTGGCTGGATCTCCTCAAATCATCTCTGAGTTCATGCTGACACTGTCCTTCCTTCTGGAGGGTGGCTAATTTTGTTCCTCATGATCCCTGTGTGTGTTGTAAAGTAGCCACCGCTCCAAGCTCACTCCCGTGATGGACTACAATCTCTCATTTAATTTGATACTTAGCTAGGATTACACTTTACAGACATGATGACGTCACAGGTCCTTAGACTGCCGGAGCCTGGGGGAGAAGAGGCTACAGGGACTGGTCTAGCAGCCAGGCGGGATGAAGGATCAGGTGAGTATATCTTCTATATTCGGTCCGCTAGACAAAAATGAGAATTTAACTGTTGCAGCGCAGGGGTAGCACAGGGTAGTAAAAACTCTGGAATTCCCCTTTAATTTCACTTAAAAGCATTGTTTGTGACAAACCAGAGACTCTGGGGAATTGAATCAGCCTAAAGCAAAACAACTTTAATTGTACAAAATGTGCAAGAAAAGCTGGATATAAAACTACTAAATGTGCTGAAAACGTGCCGTTTTTTGAACTCTGAAGCAAAATCACACAATTGTGTTTGTTATTTATGAAGAAAACAGCGTGTTGTATTAAAAAAAAAACATAGATGCATTTGGGAAAAAAATATACACTCTGCAGGAAGTTCCCTGTTTTTCAACCACCAAATTAGTTTTATTTGCTCGCTCTGTTATATGCACAAAATGAAATAAATGATAAAGACAAATGTAGTAACATGACACAATGCAAATACTGGCTAATGATATTGTCCACGCACATTTCTCTGCAGGTATGGTGACATGGTTCCAGACACCATAGCCGGGAAGATATTTGGTTCAATCTGCTCCCTGAGTGGAGTCTTGGTCATTGCGTTACCTGTCCCTGTCATTGTGTCCAATTTCAGTCGAATTTACCATCAAAATCAGAGAGCGGACAAGCGAAAGCTACAGCAAGTAAGGCAATGTATTTTCTGGTTTCCATATTTCCATATATATGGAATGTTCTGCAGAGACGTGGAAATTACACAGAGGATTGTTATCATCATGTCTGCATGTCTCTAATGCAGTGGTTCTCAATCTTTCTAGGGCCGGGACCCCTTGGTAACATTTGCCAAGTTGTGGTGACCCCCAACGGTAAAATTTAGGGATGGCACGGCTGCTGCAGCGACATCTGGCAGCGTGGCGGGAGAACTGGCACTGCTGCGCTAAGAGAGGGCTGAGGAGGACTCTCACCTAGCACAGCAGAAATCCCACAGCGACCCACAGGTTGAGAACCACTGGCGTACGCCATCAGACTAAAAAAATACAAATAAAAGAAACCACCATAGGAATGCATTGCTAGATTCCTATTGGCCTTTTCACTTTGCAATAGCCAATAGCAAACTAGCTATTGCACCCCCCCTCTGCTGCTGTCAATCATTAGAAGAGGACCTGATGGAGAACTGCAGGTCCCCCTTTTCTGATTTCTGGCAGCAGAGGGCGGGTGCAATAGCTAGTTTGCTATTGGCCATTGCAAAGTGAAATAGCCAATAGGAATCTAGCTATGCATTTCTATGGTGGGTTTTTCTTTTTTCTGACTTACGGCGGCCCCCCGATGTCAGAAAAAAAAAAAAAACGATTGCAGGGAAAGATTTACTCTGCTCGATCGAGCAGAGTAAACCTTCTGGGAGAAAGTGTTTCTCTCCCGGGCGACCCCTGGCAAATCGTCATTCGACCCCCGACGGGGTCGCGACCCACAGGTTGAGAACTGCTGCTCTAATGTCTATGGGCAACGTTAATCTCATGCTGCCGTTTTTATTTGACTGCTCCTATGGTGATTGGTTGTTTTGTTGGTAACCTTACACAAACCCGCAACCACCCTACACACCTCGGCCAACATCTCCAGACAAATTACAGCCTAACCTTGTTTCTTTTTCTCTTTTTCTTTATTCTTTGCAGAAAATCCGTCTGGCCAGAATTAGGCTGGCAAAGAGCAACACGACAAATGCATTTCTACGTTACAAAGAAAATGGCGGTCTGGAGGTAAAGTCTAGTCTTGTCTTTTGGTGCTTTTGGGTGTTTTAAAATGAAATACCAACTCCAGTAACAACTTTTGTTTTGGAATAGAGTGGGGAAGAGCTATAACCTTTTATGAGGATTTTTGCCATCTGTGTTTCCCGTAAAGGAGACACAGACTTCTAGACTGGTTTGCAAAACAGGCCTTTTAACCGTGCTAGATATATCTACTCAAGTATATCCACTCCAAGTCCAGCTTTCTCCTAAACCTCACCTGCATAAACCTTAGTGAAGGGGAATTGGTTAATCCCCTGAAATGCGTGTATATAATTTTTACTCTTATGACAAATAATTATTTAAATGAACTCTCATACAGATGTCTGGCGCTCTCTTTACTCTACACAACTTATATTCTGACTCCAATTGTTGTATTAGCGGATTATCCCTTGCTGAGACCTCTATGTCTGGCCTGTATAAGCAGATATAATCACCACGAACAATCCTTATCAGATAGCTGAACTCACCAAATACCTTTTTATCCTGCCGTGACAGGGGGAGGGGCTGGATTCCCCTCTCCCCGCTCCGATCTGCCAGCGCTGACTGTTGGAATGGACGGGGGAGGGGGCGGGTACAGCTGGCTCTGCCTCTAGATAGGCAGAGCCAGCTGTCACTCACGCAGCTGGTCGGATCCCGTCATCTACGTCGGGATCCGCTCCGGCTGCGGCGTCTCAGTATACCGCGAGCTGTAGCTACTGAGCTTAGGGTAACGGGAGGACGCTAGTTTGTGTCCTCCCGTTACCCTAAGGAGAACTATGGGGAAAAACACTGACCCCATAGTTCTCCTTTAAGTTATATTTATAACAGTTCCTGACTCTATCCAAAACAAAACAAAAAAATATTTGACTGGAGTTAGGCATTATATCTGGATCATTTCTTGCACCTTTGCAGAAATTGCCACATGGCATTTTCAAGGTCACTTCATCTTTATGTGCAGAAGGCTGCAATTGAGAAATGTTAACAGCTACAATGCGATTTATGCACTGATGATTGTTACATGCGTGTCTGTGACTTTACAGGACGATAGAGATGCACACGCTCTTTATATCAAGAATCGCTCGGTATTTCAGCTGCAGCATCATCACCTCCTGCACTGTCTGGAGAAGACCACGGTAAGATCTTATAGCAGATACACTGTATAATATTGGCACTACAGCAAGAGCCAGACAAGATGAAAGCCATCTGCTGTGAGATGGGTAGGAAACAGTTTTAGAAATGCAAATTAGAAATTTTCCATTTCAAACTATTTTATATTAGCAAAATGATAGAGATATAAATAGAGGTAAACAAAGAAAATAAAGAGGAGATAATTGGGCAGATTTAAACTATATCTGGGGCCATGCTATGGACATTAAAGTTTTATATATCCTTTATAAGCAGTAAAAAGTTTTAACTCAAAACGTCACTGACCACTGTATCTTCAGGCACTGTGGAGCAATTTAGCATCACAATTCACAGCCGAAGCACCAAACTTAGCAGCTCAGTATACCCTGCTCCCCTTGCCAGCAGTGATGCAACAGCTCAGCTCACCATGCTCTCTTCCCTTCAGAAGTGACTTAGTAGCACAGCTTACTCTCCCCCCTCCCAGCAGCAATGCTGTAACTCAGCTCACCCTACTTCCCCCTCCCAGTAGTGATTTAGCAGTTCAGCTCCCCTAGCTCCCCCATCACAGCGGCCTTCTAATCTCTAATGTACGCACAGAGCATGAGCTTTAGGAAGGGAAGCCGGGGATACCCAAGGTGCTGAAAGAACAACATGAATTACTTCAGTGCTTCTGCTGTGAACTTTGAGGATGAATTGCTTCACAGTGTCTCCAGCTACATAGGTTAGTGACAGCTTGTCAAGAATGTATGAATACTTGAATGTCCATAGTGTGGCCACAAGTTCACTTTAACCAAAGAAACAAGAGGGAAAGTGGTGCAGTCATTTGTGATTAGGCTGACTTTAATTTATTTTCATGCATGGTCATAATAATCGCATACAGTATATAGATGAGTGAATTGATTATTTAAATGGGACAGACTCACTTTTTTGTCAAACTGCAAAACTTCATGACACCTCAATATTTCTTTGTAGATTTGACTGATCTTCAGAGAATAACACTGATCATAATCCTCATTGGATTATAGGGCTAATCTGTCTGGAAATATTCAGGTGAACAAAGAGCTTGCACTTTCATAAAAAAGGCGAGGTTTGCCCGA